TAACTTGTAATTCTCGATTAAAGTCACACGAAAGGAACGAGAGATAGATAGATAGAGAGAGAGAGAGAGAGAGAGAAAGAGAGTGAAAGAGAAAGAGAGAGAGAGAAAGAGAAGGACTACTTTCTCGCTTCGCCTGTTCTCCTGTTGAAAATGGTACCAGATTTCTTGGCAATCTCTAACCCTTTCAATCGATCTTCCAACCGTAGAATAATTTGTATTCCTCGTGGAAGCGCGAACAGTCCTGTTCTTCCATCTCACGTATTTTCTTATAAGAATATACGTGCTTAAAGCAAAATGGTAGATAGGTAGGTAGGTAGGTAGGTAGGTAGGTAGGTAGATAGGTAGATAAGTGTAGATTGTTGTGATGTATGTTCGAGGGCCCTTTCAAGGTCACTCTTAAGAAAGACACTTTTCTATCTATACGATATACACGTAACACCTGTTTCGGCTCCTGAAATCCTGGTGGAGTAACATCGAAAATTAACCCTTTCTCCGGTATTGAAGCATCTCGATAGAATGGCTCTTCTTCCTTCTTCTCTTTCTTCTTCTTCTTCTTCTTCTTCTTCGTTTCTGTCCCTCTTTCTCTTTCTCCTCTCTCTCTCTCTCTCTTTCTCTCTCTCTTTCTCTCTCTCTCTCTCTCCCATACTATGCTACTTTAAACCTCCTTAATACTTCTACATTCCTGCTATCTAGTCTTCGATTAATTCGTGTTTACAACCTACTTCACGCCTCTCCGTGGACTTAAACGGGCCATTAACCGTGCCAGAACATGATATCGATGACTTTCGATCTAAAATGTTCATCCCTACCCTTTTTGTTTTGTTTCCTTATTTATTTTTATTTTCTTCTTCACCCTTCATTCTCTCGTTCTTCTCCTTTTCCTCCTTTTCTTTCTTCTTCTTCTTCGTATGCCACTTCTTTTCTTTCTACGCGACCAACTTACGCACTCTACTGCCAATCTTCCATATCATTCACGCACTTTCTTCAATAACATACGATCCTGATAAGTTGAGGATATAAAATTTCCGTTAACGGGATTTTCAAAGCTCGCCTGTATATATATATATATATATAAAATATATATATATATAAAATATATATATATATATTTTATACACACAACAAATTCGATCTTTCCACAGAAATTATTTATCATTCATGTTTATATAACATTCATCATTATATTATTAACATTAATCATGAATGAATTATAGTCATTAAATATTAGGAGTGAATATATCTATCGAACATTTATTATTAAAATCATTGATATTTATATTTACTCTATTTATATATATATATATATATACATATATGGTCTTTATATTATCAATTGTCATATATACAATATCAAAGATTAATCCCGTATGTTCATAATAACGGATTGGATATCAACGTTGCATTAGAAACCAAATACAATTATTGTTTATCCCTAAAATGAAGAATGAGTCGTACATTGAAATTTTTAATTTGAATATATAATTATTAAATAATTTAAATCGAAGAAATAACAATAAATTGAAGTGACGAAATTGAAGATTTCATTTAATGAAATCGATTTATGAATTTCCAAAAGAAAAAGATGACGACGACGACGATGACGACGATGATAATAACAATGATGGCATGAGAGAAGGAACCACAGCCGAAATCCAACAGAGTTCCTTAATACTCATACTATCCTAGTAGAAAATCTTGTACTAATTTATATTTACAATGCCATTCACGCCTCCCAATGAACCGTGACAAAATAATAAAGATCTCTTTCACATTCATACTTGAAGATATATTACGCATTCGTAATACACAAAGGGATGACTAATTTCTTTCTTTTTTTTTTTTTTCATTCTCTCCATTAAATGGTTTCTACTTCCTCTCCTTTCTCATCCTCCTTTTTCTCCTTCTTCTCTTTCTCATCCTCTTCTTTCTCTCGGCCTTACAAGTCAACTCCGTCCCTTCATGTTTGCCTGTTCTACAGGGTACGCGAGATATCCGCTGAAAAATTGTAGAAACTTCGTCAGAACGTCGATATTATTTTTGACAAAATTACTTCGTATTCAACAATCTTCAAATATACGTATATAAGAGTATATAATATATTATTATATACTCTTATATAGTTATCATTATTATGTTAGTTATCATTAATATCATATTTGTTATATTTATAATTTAATTTGTAATTTCCTTTTTTTTTCTTTTTTTTTTTTTTTTATTTATTTGATGAGATAAGCGAACATAGAATGTTTCAATTGTAAAAGTAAACGTACGATTTTGTTAGAAAAATTAAAGGATACGCGACTCTGAATTCCTTCAGATTCAATAACGTTCCAATATCTATTAAAATCATTTTATTACATAGATATATATATATATATATATATATATATATATGATTTAATTCATTATTTTTCATTCCGTCGTTTTTCTAATAATACAATACAAAATTGTGCATATATTTTTTACATATGTGATATCAAACCATTTAAGAAACGATTCGATCGTTACAAATGCAACTAAGAATTTATATATATATATATATATATTTTTTTTTTTGCAAATGATCAATCATATATCATTATTATTATTATTACTATTATTTATTCATTTATTTATTTTTTAATAATATATAATATATTTTTTTTATTTAAATAATATATTATTTTACATTTTTCTTTATAATTGAACTTACAAAAAAATTCAAACACAATCATTCGATGAAGCTAACTTAACAATAAAAAAAAATTCATAACGTTTTACATTTTCAATGATCCCCAATGATACGCAAAACTTGTATTAATTTATAATTTAACCGTGTCACTCGTAATGAAACTTTCGAAGATTTCATGTTATCCTAAGAACGATGTTTACTCGATTCGTTCCCTTGAGTGGGCACGAAGACACAAATTATGTTAGTCCTTGAATAGTTGAGAAAAACACATGAGAATAATGAAAGGGTGCAGTGAGGCTTTGCGCTTTCCAAGCACGAACGCGTTAACCAAGCGTCACATGATCCCCTATTCTTTGAGAACGTCAAAGTAGTGAGACAGTCTTCAACCCTTTCTCTCCAATATTCATGTGCACAATGAAAACACGCGATGTATCTGTTTCTATCTTCCTTTCAAGCAATGAAAACCGGTTCTTCTTTCTTTCTTATTCTCTCTTTCTCTCTCTCTCTCTCTCTCTCTCTCTCTCTCTCTCTCTCTCTCTCTCTCTCTCTTTTTCTTTCTTTCTATCTTTTTTTATACGTCGAATCGAACGATAATTAAATAATTGAAATTTCTGATAAACTTTCTTAAATTTTAACATAAACTAGATTTAATGTTGAAATCGAAAAAATAAACTTCTATCACCAATTACTCTAAGAAAAAAAGAAAAATCTTAGGTTCTCTAAAATCTATGAAAAAAGTCAACGTAAAGGTTTACTTTGATAATATACATATAATAAATAAAATAAAAGAATATATATATATATATATATATATTTTTAATATCATATATATTAAGTCTATAACTTTTTGATAATAAAAACCTTCATGAATATTGCTCGATTTCGCTTTTTTTTTTTTTTAATATTTAAATACAGACTGCTGCAAAAGTTCTCAGATGATTTGAAAAATTAATTACTCCGTTTTAAAACTTTTTTTTATCATGCCTGTAATCATTTATATAATACTTATAATTAATAATGATAATCTAAGAACGTCGATTGATCAACCTTTCTTTTCGTAATATAAAAACAATGATTAGAAAGAAACATTCGAATATGAAAATAAATATTTATATAAGAAAATTGATTGAAAAGTCATCGTTTTTAATAGTATATCAAAATACAAAAATATATATATATATATATATATATATATATATAAAACTATGTCAAAGTTTACGGTACATTGACTTTAAATGAGTGCATACTACAAACGGCATTCTCGGAATTCAAAGCGGCCATCTGGCGCGACGGTTTTTTTCTTCGACATTCCAATCTCGAGTGTGCGACAGTGCAAGGCCATGTCGAGTTACCCCCACCATAATTCTACTCGGTGACTACTTGAGTCAAGCGTTTTTCGTACGATTTATGTACTTTAAGTAGGTCAGTGACGCGTCAAGTCAATTAAAATTTCTCTCATTATATGGATATGCCAAATAAAAACTATTAAATGTCACCTCTTTTCTTTTTTTCTTCTTTTATTCTTCTTTTTTTTTTTTTTGTTGTTGATCAACAATTATTCACATATCTTTATCCAACGAAACAATCAAAACTTTTAATTTTAACAAAAAGAAAAGAAAAGAAAAGAAAAGAAGCAAATTTATGAAAATTCTTTTCACGTTAAATTCGATTAAAAAGATATATCAGACACACTCCAAAACATTCTAAACTATGAATTAACAATTTATAAAATATATTATATTTATTATATTAAAATTATTTGACATCGAATAATCGTTGATATGATTAAACAAATATTACTATTAAATAGTAATAGCGAAATCTATTAATAAATTTATTAATAAAAGTTCTTTATCATTAGATACAATTCTTATGTGAAGAACAAGTAAAAAGGGTAGAAAGATGAAGGGGGATGAATCGAGAAAGGAAGTAAAAAGACGAAGAACTTTCTCGTCGCTCATGATCTCTTGGTATCGGAAGCGCCATGCGCCTTCGCCGTTTTCCCACGAGTCCTCCCTTTGTTCTCACGCGTTTATATATCGATCTCGTTGTCGTCTCAGTTGTGCTTATCTCTTTCTCTTTCTTTCTCTCTTTTTTTTTTTCTATCACATATATAATAATTAATCAAATATAAGAAGAATTAAGTACATCGAAATATTATATACGTATATACATATGTATATCATACATAGCAATATTAATTTTTAATTATTTCTAATAAATTGTGCAAATTAATATTATTAATTATTACACTATATTACGATTTATCTAAATATAATTCGATTAATAACAAATTTAAAGTTTAAGATAATTATAATATTAATCCGATATAAACGATATTTCCTTTTCTTTTTTTCGTTTCACATCTCTATGACATTTTGTTTAATTTTTTTCGCGACTTCCATATTAAATCTTTTTTCCGCAATGTCGGAGACATCGACTTCTTACGATCGCATGAAGTCCGGCTCACCAAGAGATTCAAATTCTCGCTTTCCTGGAGTCTCTCCCACGGTGCAATCCCGTGGGAACGATTTAATTGGCCTGAGAAGAGTCTCCGCTCCTTCTCCTTCTCCATTTCCTCCTCCTCTTCCTTCTTCTCTTCCTTCTTTTTCTTTTTCTCTTCTACTTCTCGAAGAATATCGTTGGTTGCCTTTATTATCCATCCTGGTGAACCTATCGAAGATCTTTTAACCTCTTGTGTCGAAGATCGTCGGGATTCTCGACCCCTCGAATTCGATAAACCTTCCTCGTAAAACTTGACCCTTATCTTCATTGCATGCTCGCACAACGCATCCCCCTTTCAATCGTTTCTACAATGATCACGATCTAATCCAACAAATATTAATCGATTTTAATCATTTCTACACCATGAAATATAATCGATGATTTTAAGTAAGAAATATACACTGTTATTTTTTCATGATATTTTTAATAAATAAAATCTCCCTAAAATGATATTAATTAAGAAAGAATTATTAAATGGTTCCATTTTGTTTTTATATACAATGGAAAAATTTAATCTTCATTTTGAAATAATAAGGAAAGTAAATTTTATACAGCAATTCTTATTGATTAAATAAATAACAAATGTAAATATAGAGAAACCTAATATATTATTAATATTTTAAATAATAATTATTATATATATATATATACACACGTATAAATCATATTTGAACAATTTAAAAAAAATATGAGATATAGAAAATAATTGTTCAGTCTATTACGTCTGAAATTATTTCAATCGTTGAACAAACTTTCATTTTCGTAAATTAACTTTCAACAGAGGCAAAGATACGTTCGACGTTCCTCGAATTTAATCCCTGATCGCGTATAGTATCCCGTCTCAAGATACTTTCTCACGGATTCGATCGTGCTTCTCGAGGACGTTGTTTCTCTTCCCACAGAAAGATAGAAAGAAAGAAAGAAAGAGTGAGTCGGGAACACCAGGAGGCGTGGGATAGTTCGTCCCTGGGGGCAAACGAAGCGATCTGCTTCGGTAGTAGGCGTTCAGAGTAACGAAAGAGTTTCGCGACGAATCCTCCTCCTCCTCCTCCTCCTCCTCCACCCTTCTTTCTCCTCCCCCAACACCCTTCTCACCGTCCTCCTCCACCCTTTTTTGACGCCACAATTGACATCACTCTCTATCCCCTTAATCCTCTTCCTCGTCATGTGACAATACCTCTATGTATAATAAATCTAACCCTTTGAAGTTGATTCATTCTTTTCTCGAATAAAATTAAATACGAAAAAATCTAATACGTTGAATGAATTTTTCGTTAATTTATAAAAAAAAAATAATAATAATAATAAATCAATAATAATAACGTAATTATATAGTGTATTTAAATAAAATTTATTTTGCATATGATGACAATAGAAATATATTTGTACCGAATGACTATGTGACATGTCGTTCAGAAAGTATTTTTATTAAAAAAAAAAAGGAACAAAAATGCGTCAAATTGAAAATAAAAATGACCTTTTTTTCTAGAATAAATGAAAAATAATCGATAGAGTCGATACGTTATATGAATTTTCTCATCAATTTATTAAAAAAAAATAATAATTTGATAAATTGATAATTGTAATATTTGATCGTAATGACAATGAAAAGTACGTAGCCAACTATTTTCATAAAATTCTCACAAAATTCATAAATTTCTATCATAAAAATCGAACGTACGTGCGAATATTAAAAATTAAATGACATTTTCCTACAAACTTTTTAGAGGATAATTTTTTTCAAATTATAAAAGAAGTTCCGCGACTTGTAGTTTTATATTTTAACAAAAAAAAAAAAAAAAAAATTAACTGAAAAATTTGAAAGTTTAAATAAAATATCAGCAAAAACTCCTCTATCGATTCTAAAATCAAATGCAACAATTCAAAAATCTTAGAATATTTAAATTGATAATTAAATATTAATTAAAAGAGAACCATCGTAAGGATTGTTACATACACACTTTCATCGATCAATCTTACAATACTAAAATATTTTTAGAATTTATAAGAAAATCAACCAAATATATAACTAGAATTATATATTAATAATCTCTAATATAACAATTCATAGAATTTGATGATTTTTGACATTTTTGAAAAATATATCTCATATATTATTTCATAAATTCTTAATGCAAAGAAGTAGATAAACCACTTTAATTCGCTCATTTTACACGTTCACATGTCTTAAACGAAAATAAAAAAAAAAAAAAAGAAAGAAAAAAACCTTGTCCAGTTTCAAAGAGTAAACGATATCATTCTTACGTGTCACTGTATATATGTGGATATATACAGACAAACACTTAAGTGAGTATATACATCAAGGAGATACCTTCCTACGGGATACGAACACGTTCCCAGGACATTCCCGTGTGAAACATTCTTTCTCTTTTTCCCTCTTCACCTCTTTCTCTCTTTCGCTTTCTTTGATCGTGAGAATCTTCGCGACTTCAGGGGAAACAGATTCCCAGATCGACCAGGAGACCAGACCGTTGATGCTGGTTGATGCATTCCACTGATATCTACCCCTTACGTGTTTTTCCTCTACACTTCTCTCGATCCTACGAATATATTTTCTATTTTTATGCGAGTATGAATCAACGCGAATCTTTCTTACTCTTACCTAAAACTACGGCGTCGAAATCGTAGCAATGATTAAAGAAACGTATCTAATACGAATTAATCATAATACTTTTATATATCTTAAAAATTATTCATAGATATTAATTGATATTAATAATATATTTATTTAAAGCCAAAGAAAAAAAAAATATATATATATATATAATAATAGTAATAATTGACAAAAGTAAATTTTTCATCGTTTCTATCAGATAATATCTATCTAACAGATATACGAAATTTTAAGAAAAATGCACGATTAATTTATTTATTCATTCGTAATAACAAAGAAATCCTCGTTATCATTTATAATTATTCGAAATATTTGATCGTAATAAAATAGTTATATATATATATATATAGGATAGGATAAAGAAAAGTTCATAAATTCTTTCTTCCTTTTTAAGGGCATATGAGTATATATAGATTCTTTTACTAACGCGTACTCGATAGAAGCCTGTTACATGTAATAGCATTTTCAGCCCTCTGTCCAGCTTTTTCTCACGCTCGGTTCCCACACTCGTTCCCTTAGAACCATAGAGCCTTAGAGCCACCAAAATCTCGATTGTTTTCATACGTAGGAGAGAAGATCCCATGGGAAAGGAAAGATAAGCATTCAACTCGAAATTTTTACTTTCCTTTCTCGTCTATAGAAAAAGAAAGGAAAAAAAAAAAGAAAAAGAAAAAAAAACGAAAGGAAAGAAATCATTAGCGCGAAGTAACCTAAGACCCAACATCGATTTTATGATCCTCCTTTCGAGTCACCGCCCACGCCGTTCTCTTTTTACTTTCCTTTTTTTCTCTTCCTTTTTTTTTTTTCATACCGTGAGAACGTTTCTACGAGAACCGTCCTCTCGATGTTCCGTAAAGGTCCATAGTTCCAAAGATTCTTTCACGTGATTATAAAATTAATATTATCACATCGATTCAAAAAATGTTAATTGCTTTAAATAAAGAAATAAATTATTTTTACAATAGCGATTAGAAATAATTAAATCCTTTCGAATTAAATGAATTAATTTTTTAATCAATTTAAATAAATAATAAATAATATATAATAAAATATAATAGATATAATCTTGCATGTTATTGAAGCTATTAAATTTTTCCAATGATCCTTGGACACACAAAATTTATATGATATCTTGATCCTTACTTTTCATTCATTTCCCACGCATATAAATTATTTATATATCTATATTATAAAAAAAAAAAAAGAAAAAAAAATTAAATAAAAAATAGTGCACGCAGCACACAAATATTATTGTTTATAAATATCATGAAAAATTTACATGTGTATGTAAGTATATGCTGTTAAGTGTGATCCGTCATCAAACGATGTTCGAATTAAACTGATTATTTGATAAAACAAGAAGAACGACATCGAACGATATAACGGAACGACAACACGCATCCTCCTTCTCTCTCTCTTTGTAAACCGCTTTGGTATACGTGTGCACTTGTACATATACTTGAACGAAGAGCTGACATTGCCTGGGAATCATCGATGTTTCCCATACCCAGTGAACGACGAGGACGCGAGTGAAATACGCGACCATTTTTGGTTCCCACAGTCGAAACATTGCGAACTCGAACTATTCCCAAATCTTTGGCTTAGAATCACACATCGAAACTGACACATACGTAACGATTTTATTGATTAAAAAGAAATAAAATTTTCAATGATCCAAAATGATTTTTACAATATATAGACCTCGTACGATCCATATAAGATTTTTGATTTATAATCATTTTTATAATAGGTATAAAATTCATATTATTATATATTAATATATATATATATATATATATATATATTTATACATATATATATTTATCTAATTAAAATATATATATGTATATAGATCATATCATATGATTTATGTAAAACTTTCACTATAATAACTTTTTTCAATATACGATCAATACTATATAGAGATAATATAATCCAAGCGAAATATTATAACAATCGCATAATTTTTATGAGACTTTCATGATTTAATGATCTATAATAAGTTATTGAATAACTTATTAAAAATAACATTTTTCGATATCTTTGTGAGAATCTAACCGCTCACGCAAAATGGTAATTACGTATACGTACCCATGGTTGGTTATCGCTTCCCTTCGTGAGCGTGAGAAAATTGGTGAAATTTTCATGCGGAACGTTGTCAACGGTAGAGATATACACGTACACATGCTTACTCACTTACTTACCTCTGAATAATGCAAAACTCATACGAACGATTTGCACGTTCAGCATTCTGCGCGTACAACATTCAAATACATCCTTCGTATTTACGATCGATGATGTGTTGGAAGAATGTCACCTTCGGTCGTAAATTATTATTAAATACGACTTGTCTTACGAAATATTATTTTAACGACGACACGTACTTTTTATTTTATGCTCTTTGAAATAGCCATTATGTTAGACGCAATCCACGTGATCAGATTTACATATATATATATATATATATATATATATATATATATATATTTTTTTTTTTTTTTTCATATGATCGATTTATTACAATTTTATATTGGCCCTTTGAAATGAGGATTTTATTAAATGAATCTACGTGATCGTACCCACGTGAACGAATTTACATATATTTTTCATATCATCGATTTCTTATATTGGCGATTGGATTGGATACCTTTACATTGGCTCTTTGAAATGGCAATTTTATTATATCAACTCACGTGACCATACTGGCACGATGAAGTTTATAAATATGTATATATATATATATATATATATATATATATATATATATTTTTTTTTTTCATTTGATCAATTCCTTACATTTTTACATCAACCTTTTGAAATGACCATTTCATTAAGTGAACCAACGTAACCATAGCTACATGATCAAATTTACATATATTTTTCATTTGATTGATTTTTTATATTTCTACATTGGCTCTTTGTAATGGCCATTTTATTAAATGAACCCACGTGACTATACCCACGTGATCATACTCGCGTGATCAACTTTATATATATTTTTCATTTGATCGGTATCCTACATTGGTCTTTTAAAATGGCCATTTTGTTAGATGGATTCACGTGATCATTCTTATCCACGTGATCAGATTTCCAATGAACTGTATCTATTTATCTTTCTCTCCTCTCCGGATTAGGCATCTTCGTCCTCAGCCATCTCCTCGTCTCCTGATCCGTTTTATACGAATACGCCACTTGTCTAAGCAACCGAACGTAGCGCGCCTTAACCTACTTTCGGGTGTTCAACACCTCCCGGTACTCCATACTTTCCTGTCAGTTTACTTATTAATTTAGATTATGTCGTGCAAGAGCTAATTGCTCCGAAACATCGAACGCCTCACTTGAATTTTAAAATCATCTAATTCCTTTGTCATCGACATTTATAAAAACGACCGACAGAATATATACTGTCATCATTGGTAACGCCATATATAATTGAGAGTTCAATTTATTTCATAATATCCGACTGTCCGACGGTTTTATTATTGGTAATTAAAATAACATAAGATATTTAAATTATTGGCGTGAGTAAAAAAATTCTTTATGAAAAAAATATATGTAAAAGTGTGATAAAAAATCTTTCTTTTTAATTAAATATCAAAAGTGGTGTGTGTGTTTCTATATACACATATTGTATATGTATCTGTATATACTCATATCATATATATATAGATATATATATATATATATATATCTATATATATAAATGTATATATAGATATATATATAAATATATATATAAATATATATATAAATATATATATAAATATATATATAGATATATATATATATAAATATATATATAAATATATATATAAATGTAAAAGGAGACCAGAAATTTAATTCGGTACCTACGTACACATCGATACTCACTGAAGAGTCAAACAAGAATTCTCGCTTGGTGTGACGATACATGGAAACATACATATACGTGCACACACACGCATGTACACATGCAAACAGTAGTAGCAGGAGCAGGAGCAGGAGCAGGAGTAGCAACCAACAGCAGACAGACAGCAGACAAACACAGACGTACAAAACTATATTCAAACCCACGCTTTCTACTAGCCGAAATTCTCGAATCGAACCGGGTATCGTGGCATGCTCTTCTGCTCTCCTAGTAAAGTGATACAGTTTATTGGACTTCTTCGGATCGGAATGTGCCGTCAATGACATCCTTATCTCGTTTTCTCGATAGAAAGGGTAGATTGTTCGTTTGCGCGTGCCCAATTTTATATTTCCAGTACGGTTTATGATTCGGCACGTGCGCGCACGTGCCATTTAACAAGCATCATGGCGGACGAAACAGCAGGTTATACGATATACGTATAGGCAGTCGTTAAAAGAAATTTCAGGCCACTGAATACCGACACGTGCGCATGCGCCCGCGCACACGTGCCCAGAAGAGAAGAGACACGATCTACCAGCTGTATTTTTATACTATGCTGATAAACCGACTATGCCTGGTCGACAAGTGCCGAGTCAGAAATTTCAGATCACCGTCATATTCCCAACTAGCTGACTCTTTCTTATTCGTCTTATATAGTATCGAACTCTTCTATATTATTTCCTGTTCAAAATTTCGTACTACTTGTAAATAAAAATTCTTCAATAGAGAAATATAACCTGTGTTAAAAGAATTTTTTTTTTTATAAATCACATACAAAATCGTATTAAATAATATAAAATTATTTACAATTATTACGTTATCCGAATTATCCTGACAATATATACAATTACGAACAAAGTTTATAAAATAATATATAATATTTTGAAAGTTGCATGTATTCCTTTTACAATTTTCTTGATAAAACGTTTAATTCTTATCGAAGGTCTATCTGTCTGTTCGTATTAATCTCGTTATAATATTCTTTCAACAATGAAAACGACGATAATTTCTTTTATGTGTATTACCTTTGTACCGTGTATAAATCTGAAACATAAAAAGGACAATAGACTAACATTTTCAATTAAAAATTCATAAAATAAAATAACAACGAAAAAAAAAAAAGAAAAAAGAACAAAATAAAATGTGTGTATATATATATATATATATATATATATATATATATATATATTCATCTACAAATAAAAGACGAAGTTGTAAAATATTCAAGAAGGTTAAACTAAGCGAGTATCCTGTCTCACGCTTTCGAGCATAAAATAAATCCGATTGGTTGGTTGACCGAAGGCCAACAACAACGAGCGTAGCGTAGCCTAAAACGACATCAACTCGTGTGCCTTCTATTTTCTCCTGCAAGCCTGGTAGCCTTGTCAGCCGGTCCCATTTTTTCTCGCTTCGCCGAAAATTATTATCCTCTCGGGGAATTCAATGGCAATTCATACTTATACTTACTTCTCTCTTATTTGTTTCTCCTTATCCTCCTCCTCATTCTCTTTATTCTCTACCTCCACGTTTTCTCTTTCCTCCTTCTTCTTCTTCTTCTTCTTCTTCCTTTACTCTTCTTCTCTCCTCTCTCTCTCTCTCTCTCTCTTCTTATTTTTCTTCTTTACCAAAAATATACCACGTCAAATTGTTGCTTTCCTATTACCCCGTGGCATTTAACTCGCCCATGGCATGTCACCATTGCCTGTTGTCCGAACCTACCCGTTTTTATGCGCTTCGTTATATTTGTGTATATATATAAAACACATGACACACATATATATACATCGTGTAGATATATATACACATATATATATATATATATACATCGTGTAGATATATATATACACATATATATATATACTCTTCTTCTTCGGACCCAGAACGACAGCCAACTCGTTCCTAGTCGCCTAATCGAAAAATAGCCTCATTATCGATCTTTCTCGATCGAGAGATCTCCCTGTATATATCGATCCTGATCGAACGATCTAACGAGTTCACTTCGAGTCACTTGATCTCCATCTGGTATCTTGTATTTTAACAGTAAACAATAACGAACGTGACTTTCTTTTCCCTCTTTTGGATTTTCTTTATCTTCTTTTTTACATCTTGCGATAAGATTATAAACATGCAAGGTAATAATTACATTAAAAATATTTCTAATAACATTCTTCATGAATTGTTTGATGAACCAACAAGTAATGTAGATCTCTTGTTATACCGAGTACGAAAGGGTCGAATCAGGAGAAAGAGAAAGAGAAAGAGAAAGAGAAAGAGAGAGTGAGCAAGAGGGAGAACGAGAGGGAGAGGGAGAGACAGCCCTAAGTAATTCCTTACCCTTTATACCCGCCTGTTCACAAAACCAACCAAATTTAGACCTTACAAAGGGCTAAGGGCTCCTTCGGGTCATTACATGCATAGGACGAAGGAAGAGAAACAAGTACTTAACCTATAACATCGTATATACATATGTACATGCGAGGACAAGGGCCAAATCGACTGGTCAATAAAGAGACTCGCATCACATCCAGCTCTTCATGCTCGCCTAATCAACGGTCAAACGAATAATTTGTAGAGTACTACAGCGAACCACCACTTGTTAAATCAATGATATTCCCTCTCTATGTGATCGGACTGTCCATGGTTACCATCGTTAAAAGAAGGGGGAAAAAAAGGAAAAAAAAAGAAAAAAAAAATCCAAAAATCATGTTTCATCCATAAAGATGTCATCGCAACAACTATAGCCTTATTTTCTTTTATCTCTTACAGGCTATCAGCACTCAGTATTCAATAGCCAATCGACCATACAAGTAGGTGGCAGATGGAATCGAAGCAAGGGAAGGGTCGAAAGACCATTTTTAGGAGTAATCGCTGGCCTTGTCGTCAATGGTGCAAGAATCTTGGAATTGGCTGCTGCCAAGGACAGTCGAGTTACTACAAGAGGAGACGTTCAACTTTTACCAGCTGGAAGTCTTCTTGATAGAGCTGCTCCATTGCAACGCATGCAGCAGGTAAATTAATCGATACACTCGATATACTTTTTATATCTGACAATGAGCGTCAATTTTTCGATGATTTATATAGACATATATATATATATATATATATATATATATATATATATATATATATATATGTATATATATGTATATATATGTATATGCTTTTTGTATCTGAATATTCATTCTTCATGGGCGTTATGTGTATGTATGTATGTATGTATACATATAATATGTACATAATATGTACGTCGTTCGAAATGAAAATGTTAATAAGAAAATGAATGAATTCACAAAAATATCTCTATACCATTTATATTTAGTTTCACAAAATGTATTTGTGAATTTTTCCGTATCTTAGACTCCAGCATCCGGCTTCCCAGGGGTGATGGACGATCTAATCTTCTCCGGTGCCGGAAGTGGATGTGCCGGCGACGACGAAGACGAAGAATGCACTCCCATTTACGAGCCTGGTTCCGGTAAGTGTAAGTAAACATTTCATCGTGGGTGTAAGTAATTTCCTTCGTCTCTCTCTGTCTCTGTCTCTCTCTCTCTTTCTCTCTCTCTCTCTTTTCTATTCTATCCGTCCGGGGTCGATGTACTGTTGGTAGTTCGTCCGCCCAACGCCAGATGGCATCATTACATCTCGTCGTATCTTTAATTTAACAATAAAATTGTTCATATGTATCGATGTTGCTTGAAAATTTATGAAATATCATAGATTTGACTATATGACTTTTATTTGGATGATAATTATTATATCTTTTTGTATTTTTAATGCATGTTTTTGTAAATTAATCAGTAACAGCTCTCTCGCAAGTACTCGTGCAATGGCCGATTACTATATAAGCTCGTGGTTAAACTTAACCATTTGTGTAGTATGAAAGGAGAGACGTTTAGCACTCCCCTAGACAAGGATGGAACACATATAAATTGGTAAGGCACTGTCGCCTATGGCGGCTCTTACCATATTTTTTTTTTTTTATTTCTTTTTCTCGTACAATAAATTATGCATATGGACATATAAGGAATAATATATAATGGTCATGTGTAAGAAACGAATAAAACGTTCTAAAATTTAAATATTAACGCGTTTATTGACGAAATAATATTATCTATAAAATATTAATATTAATATCTATAAGATTCAGATAATCTATCTGATATCTATAAGATATCAGATAAAAATTTATCTAATATTATATCATTAATTATTTTATTAGACTTTTTTAAATAAAAGATACGAGATAATTTATTGTTATAATTTTTATATATTATACTTTGTCCTTACTAGATAATAGTTTCATAAATTTTTAAATGTCATAAAAAAAAAAAGAAACGTTTTAATCAAAATCTCTAAAATTTTGCGTGCCGATCAACAACGATCAACGCGATACTGAACGTATTAATAAATTAATAATTTTTCATTTATTTATCATTTGCATGACGTAAAAACTTTTTTTTCACTTTCTTCTTAATTTTTTTGAATATTAAAAATTCTTTGTCCTCAAATATAAAACAGGAATGAATGTTATTTAATCTGCACGTTATTTAGCTAAAAATATTCTCTCGAACCGACCAGAAAAAGCTAATAAAATTCAATATATTCGCTTTGATAAAATTTCCGGCTCACGGTATAGATAATGAAAAAAATAATATACCTATATATATATATATATATGAAAGCTGTATACATTCTACGTCGGTTCATAATATAAATATTTAAATAACCCTTCGAAGTATTTTTAATAATATAGTTGTTGACGATATTTCCATAATACATCATAAGCGAACGATGAGAAAATATTCTTTCATATATTTTTATATTTGAAATATTTCGTACGTGTCTCTTTAGATTCGTTGGCAACAGTCCATGATTAGTTCAACAGACTACGGATCGATACCTATGACCGCTTTCGATCTCGTCTCGAATGGGCAAAGTTCCAAGCTAAGAATGAAGCTAACATTAACACTCACATAATGACAATTTACGTCGTTCTACTTTTTCATCTCAATTTTTCATTTCCACATAACAAAGATTTGCGAATATTGAAAAAACAAAGTATACACACACACATACATACATCCATATATATATATATAGATCAATAAAAATTATGAAAAAAAAAGAAGAAAATATAGAAATATTTTATAAAAATAATATAACTTTTTTTTATAAACCACTGTGTGTGTGTGTGTGTGTGTGTGTATGTATGTATGTATGTATATAATAGAGAATAATACAGTTCTCATATAACAATTATCCATTTAAATGTAAATATCCTTGCATATTTTCTCATAGAAGATTAAAAAAGTATTATTACACAAATACAAGATATAATACATCTTTGCATTTTTTTATTTTTTTGTTTTTTTATTTTTTTATTTTTTTATTTTTTTTTATTTTTTTAATTGAATCTGTCAGTATCTGTTCCAAATGTAAACGCATGTCTACAATATTTTTATATGCATGTTTCATGTTCCGAAATATACGTATATCTAACTACACGTAAAATTTGGAGAAACAAGTAGACATTCACATGTCATGGATTGTAAGTTGTCGTCAACATTATGGAAATGCGAGGACATTTCTCATTAACGCTATCGTGCGTTTAAACGTCAACATCAGAGAATACGTTCGGTATTGTCGTCACGTCCATAGTTAATTTTCACGTCATATTATGCTCGTATTCGTGTCCGAAACGGAATGATCTAGGAAACCGCGGATGCATGACACGGATACGTGTCATTTTCACGCGCACAAACAAACAATTTTTATTAAACGTTTGCCATCTTCAAGATAAAATTTAATAATAATGAGATATATAGAATATTAATAATCATAATTTTTACAGATGATTTGATAACGCCGGTCTACGTGGCACCTACAAGGCTACCAACAACTTTGAGACCAAAACATACCGAAAATATTCAAGAACGACCGTCGTGCGACGACGAAGAAGAAGATTGCGAGGAAGGTTCGGGAGAACCTGGAACAACTGAGGAAATAGTCGTCACATCTTCTACCGGTCCGTGTTCTCCAAAGAAATTAAAAAAATATTCTTGTTTTATTTTCCATCTCCCACGCCAATGCTTATCGATCCTTCCGTCTACTCATTTACTTTCCGACTACGCATTTTACGTTTTATTCGCGAGTAAAGTATTTCCATATCCTTACGAGTAGTAAATATTATTTATATATTTTTTTCTTATCTTTCAGTTATATATAGATACATAGAATGAAACTGTAAAGAGAAACTTTGATCAATATATATATAACAAATTCACATATTTATATCGAAATAATATTTTTCAAAATTTTTTTCTACACATACATATGCTAAATAAGATATTTAATATTAGATTAATCTTTTATAATGTCATGTAATTTTGAAGTTACACTCATAATATATATGCATATATATGTCTTATTTAATTTATTTACTAAAAACTTAATTATCATCTATCTAACTATACCTAAAAAAGCTAATGTATGCTATATCTTATATAAATATATTTATATTGTTATAAGTTATATTGCACAATTTAACATTACATTATTTTTATTCAAACGCGAACAAAAATTAAGTTATAGACATTTTGAATCTATGTACAAAAATTACTCCCGTTTCGTTTGTTCGTGCCATTACATAAATGATTAGTCAAATCATGTTGAATTTCTAATATTAGAATATTAAGGTTAAGGATAAGATAAGCGAATGATCGATCAGAGCTTCTGAAAGAGAAAATACTCTCGTATGGAAATACTTCTACTTGGTGACGCTCGTTCTCTCTCTCTCTCGCTCGTTCTCTCTCTCTCTCTCTCTCTCTCTCACTCTCAGTTTGCATATCCCTAAGCCGTATGCGGTGAAAGCTCCGCCAATCCGGTCGCCACAAGCTTGGTTGACCGTCGCAAGCACAGTGGAGCAGCCCCTTCGATAAGAGAGACACCGAAGGGCTACTTCTTTCAGTCTTCATCGTCTACATCGTTGCGCGATATCCTCGGGCTTTCTCTTTGACTTCTAAAGAGATATATAGACATGCACATACACATGCACACAACCTTACAATATACATATACAAACTCACGCATTCTTTTTCTCTCTTTAATTGAAAATGATCGTGAGTGATCAGTGAGTGATCAGCTCGAGGGCATTGAACAAATTAGACAAAAAAGAAAAAAAAGGAAAGATAAAGAAAAAAAAAAAGAGAGAGAAAACCTAACGGTCTCGTTTTAATCCCCTTCTTTCTCTTTTCTCGCCGACAGCAGACACGAGCAGCCCAGTAACATATACGACGTCGCGAGAGTACTCGACAAGTCACAGCAGCACTCAGCACAGCCCAACGATATCGTCGTCATCTTTATCGTCATCGACGTCGACGCGGGAATTCGTCACAGTTTCTGTGCAATACAATGCTTCAACGATCGACACAGAAACCAGCCATAGCAGGTAAGTGTTGATCATGAAATGCAAAAAAAAAAAGAGGAAAAAAAATAAGGAGAAGAAAGGTCGATTACTTTTAAATCAGGATAAAACGTTTTACGTATATACGAGGACACCGTTACTGATAGGTATTTTTGTAAAAACGTACAGTCCATTTTTAATATACTATATAGCGTATGTCCTATATACGTAATATATCTAATTTCCTATATACAAAAAAGGTACAGCCCAAAAAAAGAATTGTTTATCAAACAGATAAAGTGTACTTTCAATCAATCGATCAAATCAAATCAATTAATTTCTCGTTGATATAAAAAATCGTCTAACTAATCTAAAAAAACATTTACATATATATGCATATATGTATTAATATATATATATATTTTTTTTTTTTCTTTTTTCCTTTTTTTCGAATACGCAGTAGTAGCGTTGTGACGCACCGATCGACGACTGTGACAACCCAAACGAGCACTACAGAGATGACGGACCCACCCCCACCACCTCCACCGCCAATTTATCCACCGATGCCAACCCCACCGAAAAACAGTAACAAGAACAAGAGGATAACATCCGAAACTGCAGAAAATGTGGCACTGATAATTGGTATTATAGCGGGTGCGCTCATCGCAATAGTACTCATCATCCTGATAATCTTAAAGTTTAAGAATCGACCGGAAACCAGTTGCACGGTGGACGAGACTAGAAGATTCTGTCAGGATCCGAACGCAGCTCTCCTTGGAGCTACTGGTTCTGGACAGCCATTTAACGGTGCTCTTAAAAATGGCGCGAACGGCACAAATAAAAAACGAGAACTCATAGACATCAAGGAGTGGTACGTGTAGGCCTAGCCAATTAAAAACGTGCATCCTTCGAACTGGACTGATAGTAGAAGAGAAAATGAGAAAAATAAAGAAAGATATAATGAGGGAGACAGAAATAGAAAGAAGTAAAGAAAGGGAGAGAAAGAGAGAGAGAGAGAAAGAGAAAGTATCTATCTTCCTCGTCTTACGCCCGACCACCGCACAAAAGCAAAATCGTTTTATCGTACCAGAAAGCGACGGTGGGTGGGACGTAGAAGAGAAAACCACGAAACATCGCATCTATGTATTCGCGGTAACGAGTTTCGATACTTTTTCGATACAACCGAGATCGTCAGAATTCGTGTGTGCCCTTTACAAATCGCGCCACGATCTCGCGATCCTAACGCATAGATAGTTAAGTTTTCTCGAAAGAAAGACCTTTCGTTTATTGTTAAACGTAGTTTTGAGAGATTAAACGATATACATTTGCGGCGTGCTATTCAAAGACAGTCGTAAACTTAGGCAATGACGAAAGTATCATATACGAATGATAGAGAGTGATGGTAATGATGATGGCAATGATAATGATGATGATGATGATGGTGATGATGATGATGATGATGATGATGATGATGATGATGATCCTACATAGCGATTAAAACTACATTTATTGTTGTATAGAAAAAAAAATATATATATATATTATATATATATATAATATATATATATACATATATGTATATGATATTTACCGGTTACGTTATGCGTGCAAATTGTTTGTTAAATTATAGATTTTATTAATAAAAGAAAAAAGAGAGAGAGAGAGAGAGAGAGAGAGAGAGAAAGAGAGAGAGAAAGAGAGAGAGAGAAAAAAGAAAGAAAGAGAAAAGCGCGTTGTGTCTATATGAGTAGGCGTAAACGCGATCAGCTTCCGGTATCGATCGTGCGAGTGAACGCATCGATCCCGAAGGAAAATAATTGATCGTAGGTTATAGGACGGGGAAGTTAATTAAAAGAAGAAAGTTAAGCTGTGAGAACGATACGGTAGATATTCAAAAAAAAAAAAGAAAAAAAAAGAAGAACGACTCTCTCTCTGTGTTTCTCTTCGAGCATCTGCTCCGTCGAATCGTTGAAGGACATACTCGATTATTATTATATAATACACGATCGTGATTCTTATTAGAACGAACTTAAAGTGTGACCAGAATTTCGATGGGACAGCGATGGAGAAGCGCCTGCACGTTTTATACACACATTGTTACACAGAAACACAAACATACACACACGCAAGCATGCACGCACATTGTGCGCATAACATAGGACACATTTATACATACATACATACATATAAATATATTTTTTCATAAGAACCAATCTAACGAATCTGGTCGGTACAGCTCGAGCTCGAATATCTACGTGGAAATCGTTCCATCTTTCTTTTCTTCTCGAAATAATAAATAGAAGATATGAAAAGGAAATGAAAAAAAAGAAAAAAAAAAAGAAAGAAAGAAAAAGAAATAAAATAAACAAATAGTACTACGCACTGTACGTAAGTACATATATAGGTACGGGTAAATACATATATACGTATGTACATTGATCTCGTACGATCGATCATTTGTAATTCTGAAGTGAACAGGAATCGTCATAAAACTTCCTTCGAGATAGTGTGGTGCGTGTTATCGAAATCGAACTCGGATCCTCGCAACGATCGTAAAAGAGAGAGAAAGAGAGAGAGAGAGAGAGAGAGAGAGAGAGAGAGAGAATGAATGATCGTGAAATGGTGAACGTTTATCAATAAGAAACGAATAAGTATTTACGCGTTGTAAGATCTTCCATAAAGATGTATGAAAAATTAGAAGAGAGAAAGAGAAAGAGAAGAGGAAGAGAAAAAGAGAGGAAGAATAAAAGAAAAAGAAAAAAGATAGATAGAGAGAGAGAGAGAGAGAGTAAAGGAATCGCGTAAATTTTCGCGTAAAGATAATAAAGGAGATAGAAAGAATGAATAAAGAAGAAGATTCATTGAAAGCAATATGTATGCATGTATAATGAAGGAACTAAATTACGACAAGACGGATTACGACAAGATTATAAGTATCTCGCGTGTAAAAGAGAGACGAACAAGAAAAAAAAAACGAAAGTAAATGAAGAGTTGGTAAGATGACTCTCTTTTCCTAAAAGTCGGATGAGAAAAAAGATAAAAAAAAAGTAAAAGAAAGAAAGAAAAAAGGAAAAAGAAAAAAGACGATACTATTAATTAGTGTAGTGGCATTGTAATTGAAAGGAAGACGAATGAGAGAATGAGCGCGTGAGAACGAGAGGCATGCTCGACGATGATTCATCGAAATCGTTCAGGTATAAAAAAAGAAAAAAAAAAGAAAAAAAAATGAAAAAAGAATAAGATAGAATGAAGACAAAATAATAAAGAAAAAAAAAAAATTAAAAAAAAAAAAGATGAATAAAACTAAAAAAATTAAAAAAAACACGTCCGATTGTCATAGAAGCAAACAAACAAATACAAAAGAGAAAATGAAAGAAAGAGAGAAAAGGAGAACAGCCCTTCGCGTTTTAAGTGCGCGCATTCACGCTATCTCGATCCCAAGGATAATAATGATTTTGATTATTTATTTTATTTTTTTTTTCTTCTTTTTTTTTTTCTTTTTTTTATTCATCGCTCGGTATTTCAAACTAACTATCTCTCTCGTCTAATGACTTCTCTTCGCGTCCTTCCACGCTCGTTAAAAAAGAATTTTTGTCATAATAAAATTGAATATTTTCTTGAACTAGACGAGGAATATTCGTGCGTACCCGCGTAATATCGTATCGTCGCTGTGTGTTTGTTAAATATCCTTTTAAAGTAACGAGTATATAAAATATGATATATACGGTATACATGTATTTTGTCGGAGGAAAGTATAGTAAGGAAAAATATTTAAAAACACAAAAAAAAAAAACAAAAAAAAAAAGACAAAAACCATATAGTCCCTGTATTCTTACAGTGCGCTTAATGTAAGAAAAAATACGTATAATTGCGCGCACGAACGCGCTTATTTGCAATAAAAAAAAAAATGTTTCAAAAAAGAGAGAGAGAAAGAGAGAGAGAGAGAGAGAGAGGAGGAGAGAGAAAGAAAAAAAGAGAAACAGATAAAGCACGCGTCGTCTTACATATTAGGATACGCATCAAGCGTATTTGTGTATGTCTATATATGTATATATATGCGTGGGTACGTATGTTGGTATATATTTATGTATATATACATACGCACACACGCGAACTCGAAACATGTATAATATTCCTACGAAAGAAGGAAAGAAAGAAAGTAAAGAAAAGTATTGAGAAAAAGTGCACGCACGAATAATCGCATTCGTTAAAATATTATTATTACAAATATATCGTTTGTCCTATCGATCGTCTTTATCTATTATTTGTTCGAAAAAGAAAGTGTGGAAGGGACGTGTTAGCACGAAAACTCGAAATCTTTTTATCTTGACACGCGAAACCTTTGAAACTACTACTATTTGCGTCTCTAACGCACAGAAGCTTGAATTCGCGTTCGGCCGACTCGTATTAAAAGCCCATAGACCGTGGATCGAATGAAACTAATTGCAATCAGGCTTATCTCATCCCTCAATGTATATTTCAACAACGATGGTGGCTTCTCGCGCTTTGAAGAAAACAAAAAAAAAAAAAAAAAAAAAGAAAAAAAAGCAAGAAAAAAATAGAAAGAAAAGAAAAGAAAAGAAAAGAAAAAAAGAAAAAAGAACAGAAAAGAAAGAGCACAATAATAATAATAATAATAATAATAATAATAATAATAATAATAATAATAATAATAATAATAATAATAATAAAAATCGGCGAGCTTTTATCATCGAGTTTCGCCGTACTCGTGTCGCATGTTTTTGCCGCCCCTGACTTTTTCCCCAACCAACCACCCCCAACCCCTCCATCTTCGCGGATCGTTCGATCCGAAGCTATAAAAGTAAAAAAGCGAATCGATGTCGATTTCTTAGAATTACATTCGATTTTAATCTCGAACGGGCAGTCTTAACGATATATCGTCGTCCCTCCGTAGAGCCGACGGAATTGCGCGAAGACATATGTATGTATTTTAATTGTTTATTTATTTACCTATTTATTTATTTATTTATTTATTTATTTATTTATTTATTTATTTATTTATTTAAAAAAATGTTCTTTCTTTTGCTCCCTCTTTCCTTTGGGAGAGTCAAAGAATGAAAAAAGATCATCATCGATATTTTATTTTTATTATCTTATTCGGCGCTCGTACGCCACTGCCGCGTACGCTGATTTTTCTTAGAATTAGTAAATTTCAGAAAAAAATTAAACGATTCGCGATAAAAGTTACATATTGTTATCACTGCCCTCTGACTCTCTATTTGCATATCCTTCGATGTACCGACAACTATTACGACGTTTATACTAATGCAATTGTAACTTCTATAAGAGTATCTACCGAGCAAGGTGTTATCCTACTAAATAACTTAACGCATTAAATTACGATTTAAGAGTTTGGCAAATCGATACCTTTCACCCTTTCGTCTCACGTCGATATCGTCTGATAAACAAAATGGCGTAATATTATTAGTCGACAGGATGAAAGGAGGAAAGGAGAAAGGATATTGACGACGTATACGGAGTCGAGGATCCGAAAAGTAAGCGTAACACTCGACGCTCACGCGGCTCCGCCTATTCTCTCTTAAATTAGGTAGACAGGAATTATATTTTACATTGTACAGTTGATCGTGCGTACGAGTGCACTAATATTAGATAGAGAAAGAGCATGTGCTTCGCGCTGGGACGAGAGGAGCCGAGAGAGAAAAATAAAGAGAGAGAGAGAGAGAGAGAGAGAGAGAGAGAGAGAGAGAGAAAGAGAGTGTGTATATGCATGAATGAGAGAGAGCGAGAGAGAAAGAGAGACGCCGTTCGATCGCGCATATTTTTGTTGTCGGCTGACTCGTGACAATTTTTACACGCCTATACATATATATAACATTATACATATATATATATATATATATATATATATATATGTATGTATGTATGTATGTGTATAGTAGCACTCGAGTGTGTAAAGACTGGAGGGAAAAAGGGTATATATTATATGCTGTGTAATTCTTTCGCGATCGTTCGAGCGATCGAACGTGTTTATTCATCGTATGTAAACCGCTCTAGTCAGCCTCTTTATCATTTCATGAATTAAATACGGATATAAATAATGTAATACGACGTAGGCGTATGATGCATTTAGATTTTTTACACGTCAAGGCGAAGCCTACTGTGCCGTTTCGTTAGAAATTCGATTTTTAAGCAGCAAAACATCTTACCAACCGATATCCTCTATCCCCCTATCCTCTACCCTCCTCCCCATCCGCCTGGTCACTCACCTCGTCGCCATGAATAACTTTTGGCAATTCATTATTAGGCGCGTCGAACGTACGTAAGTACGTTGCGTAAATACGCGCGTATTTAATTTACTTACTATACACAAGCACACAAATACACATACATACATATTACACATATTCACACTCAGTTAAACCATTCATCACCATTTTTCTCTTTTTTCGCCCCCGCGATTTATCTTTTACAGTGAACGACTGGATAAAGCGAATAGATTTTCACGTCATACGCAAGAAAACACACGTCGCACCGTAGTGCGCGCACATACGCGTTACAAAATTTCTCAAAAATGGAGACATGTAAATAAATAGAGATAATGCCGTAACTACGAAAATTATATGAATAAAGTATTGAAAAATATGTGAGCTCGTGTTTGTGTCGTTAATTTTTTGTTTATTTCATTCAATCCCAATATATGTCAGGTGTATCTCAGAAATATTTGTACCGAAGGTAAGTCACAAATTTTTCATTCTTTTCTTTTCTAAAGTTCAATTAAATTCATAATTTTATTTTTATAAAATCAATATCTATATTAAAGTCATAGCTACGAATAGCATACTTATTAATACTTTGCATCTTGGCATTTATTACGCGAACGGTCAGTGTAACCATATAAAAAAAAAAAAAAAAAATAATACTTATACGAATGAATCATAAGTTTATATTGATTTAATTGCAAATATTACCAAAATTTTAATCGCGAAACATGGACGAATTAAAAGTATTTAATATAATAATGGACGTATTTAAAGTAACAGATGAAGGATGCTTCAAATTCGCGATTTTTATTTTAGTTAAACGATACAACGTTCGATTCATTATTACGTGTACAATTATATTAATAATCTGAAAAAAGAAAGAAGAACAAAATTATTAATATTATTCTTATAATGAAAAATTGTTTGAATTATTAAGGAAATGTTTAAATAAGAAACTTTTTTACTTCTATAATATTAAATTTCCTGTAATATTAAATTAATAGTGATAAAGTTGGAATAAAAATGTTCATTAATAAAATACATAATTAAAACGAAATCAATCGACATTTTTTGTATGTAAAGAACTTTCTTTACTCGTCGAAATACTGTATAAAAATAAAGATCTCTTTTCTGACCTTGAGAGATTTCGATTGTTTTTGTTTTATTCTCGGCCGGAGAATTTCTGGAAAATACACAAACATTAATGCGTATCTCTATATCGAATGTTACCTATCTCTTTCTCTATTAAACATTGCTCCACGTTATTAAAAAGAGACAAACTTATCTAATTCATAGGAAGAGAAAATCGTATTACAAAATCCGCGTATTTAATACTACGTTATTCTAGCTCTTCGAATTCTTGGAAATGTAAAATAATCAATAATATAAATGATCATATTAAACAGGATAAGATTAAAAGTACATCTCTCCGTATATGTGTACGGAATATTCATAGATATATATATATATGAATACATATGAAAATTAAATATAATATAAGGTATCGATCAATCACAATTATAAATACAAAATTATTGATTAAAACATAGTTTGAAAGCGAGAAAAATATCGATATTATGAAAATAAAGCTAAAAACTAGAAGAAAAATTACGATACAATTGTTCCCCGGGGTAATCTACGAAGGCGATTTTATTTTCGTGAATATCTTTCGCATGGCTACGACGTGTCAACTTACCAACGCGGCCTCTTGAAAATTATGGTTTAAGTTATTGATTGATATATTGGAAATAAATCTATGTTAGAAAAAAAATATGCTAATTACTTGTAATTATGCTGAGCGACGAAACACTATGCACTTGTAACTATGTCCAAGATGGCGAGGAACCACCAACAAGGAAGACAACTGGACCCCGTAGTTCAAGTACATCGCTAATCAAATCAAATATTAATTATCTCAATTAAAAATAATAAAGAATATAATAAAAGTACGTAAATAATATGATATGAATGATAAATGTAATTGATTCGTATTTCAAACATAGATAATAATTTTCTAATGAAATAATTATATTTTCTAGAGATACAGAAATGTTAAATATATACACACTTGAATCACGTATGCATAGATGATCTCTATGTTTTATATATTATGCGCGGAATAATGAATAATTATTAAATTGAAATAATTCGATAAATATAGATATTTAAATTTAATATATATATACGAGTACATATTTATTGTAAGCGTTTGGAAAAAAATAATAGTCGAATTTTTATTTATGCATATCGAATGATTATATCATTTATGATCGAAGTAATAAATCAATAATAATTGTATATAATCGAAAATGCTCGACTATCGAAAAGAAAGAAACGAAGAAGATACATATGTAAGTATATAGAGAATTAATACGAAAGTTAAGCGAAATCAGACGACGAAAGAAAAAAGTAAGAAAAAACTCTCGGATATTTTTGTATATATGAAACAATAGAATTATTTCATATTTTTATTATTAAAGTTGAGTAACAAATTTTTGGATTTTCCTTTCCAAAGGTTTAATTAAAATCATAATTTTATTTTTATAAAATCAAATTTTACGTTAAAGTCAAGTCACAAATTATTCACTTTTTTCTTTTCTTTAAAATTAAATTAAATGAAATTTATACTTTCATCTTTCATAACTAATATATTTCATATTTCAAAAAAAATTCAGTTCTAATAAAATCATAATAACGAAATATGTGATATGGCAATTGTAGAGATCACTGAAACTGCACTGAATAAAGGTGCACATGGAATTGAAACGAGCACATCGAAATATATATGTGCCAAGTTCTCCCTTTCGAGAATTAGGATCAAGATTAGGATCGAGAATCTTTCATTTTTTCTCTTTTAAATTTAAATTAAATTAAATTCAAAATTTTCTTTTTCATAAGTAGTCTATAATTATATATATATATATATATACACGCATACACACACACACACACAGTTTCTTTCCTTATTTCTTTTCTTTTCTATAAAATCAAGTTTTATTAGAGTCATTAAATTAAGATTTTTTTAAATCACAAATAGGAAATAGAAATTATGGAGAACACCAAAACTGCACTGAGTGAAAGTACACATAAGGATGAAATAAGCACACTTAAATATATATCATGTTCTTTGCTTGTAGCGCATTACAAGAAGATAAAAGATTAAAAACTTTTCATATTCGATATAATTAATTCAATATAGATTTCGAAATTAAATTTACGGGAGCATAAATTTATACATGTGATAAAGGTAGATTAATGAAATGATGATTTTAAAATTTATAGATCTTAAAATACTGACGAAATAAAATCGACCGTGTAAAATAGACAAAGGTTTAAATTCGGAAGGGAATAATTAATAAATAAAATTATTTTATTAACATTTAAACAATAGAATATTTTTAGAAACATGACAAAAATTGATAGATTTTAATTAATAAGATACAATCGATATAAAATAAATTCAATTTAGTCTTTCGATAAACATAAATCGCAAACTCGAAGGAAATAATTAACGAATAAGATTACTTTACTAATATTTAAACAATCAAACAACAAATTTTAACAAGATTACAAAAATGATGGTCAACAAAAGAAGAGTGCTTTTAGGCGCTGTTTATATCAAACGAGTTCTTTACGTATTGGACATCAAAAAGCGCTGTTTACATCAAGCGAGCACTGAGTGTTATACGTTTGTGGCATCGTTCACAGTTAGAAGGTTAAGCTTCTAAATTCTAATAGTGATTTAGTGATTTTAAAAAATTTATATTTTATTCATCTGTTACTTGTAGAATAGTATACTATAATTAAAAACAATTATGTATTATTATAGTCTCTTTACAAAATAGAAACGTGATACTTCAATTATATATGATCTTGCACGTATATATGTATATAAATATATGCAGCATAAACAGTATGTATGTTTTTCATATATTTTTCGATTATCAGAATACATGAAAGTTATGTAGCAGTACATTGTATAATATTTTACGCACGTTCTATTATTAATAATCAATATTAAACAGGATAATTAAATTGAGGTATTAGAGTGATACATTTTAATCAGATATTGAGGTTAGCTTTGTATAAATCAACAAAATTATATGTGATGATAAGGATATTCAATATTGCCAGAAAAAGATACTATTAATATATGATTCTTTTTTAAAAGATTTATTGGGTTTTCTCTTAAAAATAATTAAAACTTAATTTTTTGAATTTCTTTAATAACAGATAAGCTAAAAGATGCCAGAAATTAAAGTAACGCCATTAGGGGCAGGTCAAGATGTTGGCAGGAGTTGTATTCTTGTGTCAATGGGAGGAAAAAATATTATGTTAGATTGTGGCATGCATATGGGATTCAATGATGAAAGAAGATTCCCTGATTTCTCATATATTGTACCAGAAGGTCCTGCAACCGGTTACATAGATTGTGTTATTATTTCACATTTTCATTTAGATCACTGTGGAGCACTTCCATATTTTACAGAAATGGTAAGATCTTTTTGATAACTTCTTTATTATAACGTTCTTATTTGTAAGATAATTTTATTTACAGGTAGGTTATACAGGACCAATATATATGACCCACCCTACAAAAGCTATTGCTCCTATACTTTTAGAAGACATGAGAAAAGTAGCTGTAGAACGTAAAGGAGAAAGTAATTTTTTCACATCCCAAATGATAAAAGATTGCATGAAAAAAGTTATTGCCGTTACTCTTCATCAATCTGTTATGGTGGATTCAGAATTAGAAATAAAAGCATATTATGCAGGACATGTTCTTGGTGCTGCTATGTTCTGGGTACGTGTAGGATCTCAATCTATTGTATATACAGGAGATTACAACATGACACCAGATCGTCATTTGGGTGCAGCATGGATAGATAAATGCAGACCTGATTTATTAATATCAGAATCTACATATGCTACAACAATTAGAGATTCCAAAAGATGTAGAGAAAGGGATTTTTTAAAGAAGGTATATATCACATAAATATGTTAATATCTCTGTATTAACAGAAATACCTCAAACACAAATACTTTCGTTGTAGGTTCATGAATGCATAGATAGAGGTGGAAAAGTTCTAATTCCTGTCTTTGCTTTGGGTAGAGCTCAAGAACTTTGCATATTACTTGAAACATATTGGGAAAGAATGAATCTAAAGGTTCCAGTTTATTTTGCTTTGGGTTTAACTGAAAAGGCAAACAATTATTATAAAATGTTTATTACTTGGACTAATCAAAAGATAAAAAAGACTTTTGTACAACGGAATATGTTTGATTTTAAACATATAAAGCCATTTGACAAAGCATACATTGATAATCCAGGAGCAATGGTTGTATTTGCAACACCAGGAATGTTACATGCTGGTTTATCTTTACAAATTTTCAAAAAATGGGCACCAAACGAAGCTAATATGGTTATCATGCCTGGATTTTGCGTACAAGGTACAATTGGACATAAAGTCTTAAATGGAGCACGTAGAATAGAATTTGAAAATCGTCAAATCGTCGAGGTGAAAATGGCTGTGGAGTATATGTCTTTTTCCGCACATGCTGATGCAAAAGGAATCATGCAGTTAATACAATACTGCGAACCTAAAAATGTTATGTTAGTGCATGGAGAATTTGCTAAGATGGAATTTTTAAAAGAGAAAATTAAGCAAGAATTTGGTACAAATTGCTATAATCCTGCTAATGGAGAAACACATGTTATTACAACTACTTCGAAAGTTCCAGTAGATGCTTCGCTTGCTTTACTAAAAGCAGAAGCAAAAAGATATTCAGCTTTGCCACCAGATCCTAAAAGACGGAGATTATTACATAGTGTCTTAATGTTAAGAGAGGATGGAGTTTGCCTTGTGGATGCAGATGAAGTAATATATAAATACTAGTAACAAAAATGTTTAGAATTTAGAATGCTATAGTATAATTAACATTTTTTTGATTAGGTGGCTAAAGCAGCAGGTATAACTAAACATGTTGTACGATTTACTTCTACCGTTCAAGTTCGAGATCCTGGACCTGCACATTCCACTACTTTGAAATTGTTACAACCTCTTAAAGAAAGATTATCAGGTTGGACAGTACAATTAACAGATGGATCAATATCTGTAGAATCGGTCTTAGTTAAAGTAGAAGGCGATGAAGATGAGCAAAAAAGTGTTTATGTTTCCTGGACTAATCAGGATGAAGATTTAGGAAGTTATATATTAGGATTTTTGCAAACTATGTTAAATTGATAATAAATAATATCATGAGAAAGATAGGACTATAGAAATATTGTACATATATCTGTGATATTTATTTGATGACTAATGTCATATTTTTAACAAAGTAAATATTTGAGCTTTATTACTATAATATAAATTTTATTTTATATTGTTTTTCACAATATAAATATAAATATTACCGAATATTTTCAAAAAGAGAAAAAATGAAAATTTCAAATTATACGATAATAAAAAATAATATAAAAATAACAATTAATTATCTTTTTTATATGAAATTAACAACTTGAAATTGAAAATGTAAAAGATCACATGATTACATAATCCCACTGTAAAATAAAATATATATATATATATATATATATATATACACCATTAATTGATGTTAAAAATAAATAATATATAAATACCACATTTAATTACGTGCATTTATTTCCATATATATAATTCTTATTTTATATTACAATTAATACCTGACACACTACCAGGATTTTTGAACTGATTAATTTATCGACATAATATTATCTAATCAAGAGTATTTTGTTATTAAAACATTAATAAAAATATAAACAATAAACAGTTGTTTTTGACACTATAACTTTATTCCGTTGTTTTTATTAATATTACGTGGAAGCTACAATTATAATTCCTAAAAGTGAAAACAAGTAATCTCGTTATCAGAATGATTTACGAGGAATATATTAATAGAAGAATACATAATTATTGTGCATTGATTCAACAATGTGTTAAAGTGTTTTCAAATTCCTCAAAATTGCTCATATGCTACAATTTTATCTGATACTATGTTCACATATTATCGATCAAAATCATATAATATTAATATGAGATCAAAAAAAAAAAAAAAAAAAAGAAAAACAATGAAATTTAATGAACTAATTCTAAGTCTTTAAACATTATATAAGATACGAATAAGTACAATGCACGATCCACTTTATTGTTTATAAAATCAATGAAATATAATTACTCGATCAGATTAATTATTAAATTATATGATATAGATCATTTGAGGTCAATGGAAAGTATATTGAAGATGTATTATCAAATTAATTATAAGAAGAGAAATGCTGTTTTTAATTTGTTTTCACCTTAATTATATATATGCGATAAAAAAGACATTTAAATTATATTAGTTAATCCATTATTAGATTTTATATAATCTCAGAAAATTTGATTTTTTCATCCAATATGAACGAACTGCTTGTCATGTCATTAGAGTATTTTCATTATTGTGACTCACAACTTTGTTACTCAAAGTTAATGAAACAAAACAAATTTATCGAAATTATATAACTGAGTTCTCTAAATGCTTCAAACTCTGTGCTTTTCATTGACCTTTATGGTTAGCACTAAATAAGATATTTATAAGATTTCGCAATAATATAAATTTTCAATCTGTTTAGCAAAATTTGGTGTTGCCTATGCAATTCTATATAGATAGGCCTGCATAAGTGTATATCCATGTATTACTCCTCTAAGAAAACAGTTTGGCTTATAATCCAGAGAACTATCCTGATCATATACTATAAATCCTTTTCTTTTCTTTTTTTTTATGTATAAGATTATTTCATCTTGTTCGTTTATTGCACATATAATCTCTTAACGATTTTAGCTTTGTATACAAATGCTTTAACAATGTGAAAAAATGTCTAAAAAATGTGATATTAACCATACCTGTCACATATGGAGAAATTCATTTACATAAATGATTTCATTATACGTATATGTAAATTTAAAAACTTTTGTTAGAAAAAAAGAGACATTATCAATATACTAAATGAATTTTAATTTCGAACATAACGTAATTATAAAATCTTCCAAACAATTTTAAACATTATGTTTTAAGAACAGAAATAAAATTTAATTATATGAAACATATAAAAAATAAAAAATGTATAATGCACAAATAATATAATTCTTACATTATTATTACTTATGCTTCCTAGTAATAATGATCGCAAACATCAGCTTCAATGTCTCTTATTTAATAACTATATGATTAATTGTTTACATTTTCTCCACATAATAAAATATGGTATTCTTCATAATAAACATTATATTCGTAATATATTTTAATTGTTATATTAGTCTTCTCAGTAGCAAAGTATGCCATTTATGTGTACAGTCTGATTCCATATACATTTTATATTTTATTCCAATTTCTTTTTACCATCTAACCTTTACATAGAATTAACGTAGTTTGTTCTTTGAAGTTACTTTTTTCCTGAACCACCCTGAAAGCACAAACATGATTTATAAATTTTCATTAAAACTTCAGGAAAAATTACAACATGTAAAAGCAATAGTTTCCTGTACATTGTTCCATCTGATACTAATTAAACAGTAAAGCATAAGTTTTTGGTGAAAGATGCATATTTATATTATATTATATAGTTGAGAAACATTAAAATGCGTGTTTACTTATAATGACATATAATACAGGAAGATCATATATATCTACACATAGTTATATTATTGTGTGTTAAGTGTTATCATACCACAGTATATAAAAAACATATGTAATACCCTTAACATCGACCTCTTTTTTCTTGACTGTTAGAAATATAAAAATTATACTATGAATCAATAACTATTATCATATGAAATAATTAAATATGATTTATATCCTAGCTTTACCATATAATTATTTAGATTAAATATTTAATATAAAATACTTTCCTCCTACAATAATGAAAATAAGTAGACTTTTATTCTATTTAGTGACTAAAATTTTAGAAGGAAAATAAAAATAGATGATCTTGAAAATCAAAAGTAAAAATGATATTATGAGGCCATGTTTTAGGGTCATCTTTATTAATCATGAAGTGATAAGTCATCTGATAATGCAATGATACATAATATAATACGTTCTATGTGCAAGTAAATATACCATTCAATATCTTCACATAAATAATTGAATAAACACGCAAAAGTAAAAAACTAATTTATTAAAATAATTACCATCACCAAAAATGCTACAAAGCATTGCAAAGAAAACCAACTACAATAGATAATAATTTATTGTTCCCGTTAAGGCAATAAATACGTATGATATCGCTGCAAGCAAAGATGATTAACTTAAGCAAACAATAAAAGCATTGGACACAAATATTAATTATACTATTTAAGGCTACAATGAAGAATGGAAAAAGAATGAAATTATTTTTTTAAATAAAAGAAAATTACACAGTATACTGAAGAGATTATTTTGAATGGCGAAAGCGTGTAGTTTTGCAGTAATCAAACAGTACAAATTACTTTTGAATATTGATAATGTATAATGTATCTACAACTAGTACACTAAAAATGTATTTCCTTCGTTCTATAACGAAAATATTTCATGTAATGTTTCAGATTATATAATTGGATGCTCTGAAAAAGAATAAAATAAAACATATGAAAGCAATATAAATATATCAAGGATAACACACTAAAAAGTTATAATGGATGAACTAATAAGTAAATGAAATTAACATATAGACTGCTTGAAGTGTACCCTTTACCCCAGTGTTTGTGTTTATAAAATTTGATTTATACTCATTATGTACATTCACAATATGTCCATCATCTTCATTGCCGTTTTGCGCATTTTATATACACTTTGTAACATTATGTTTATTGATGTCTACGATTCGTCGGCTATTATATTAAAATCTATCTCTATAATTTCTACATAATGTTATTTATATAAAATAAATTTTACGTTTTCTAAAAGTGAATAACCATACTAAACAATATCACCTGATGTATAAAACTGCAGAATAATCTGATGTATAAATTGCAGAATAGATTTATGATTGCACAAACGTATAAAAATGGTTTCGAAAAATGATAATATTCTGTCCTATATGATACACACATGATACTGCACGATACCAATATAAAAACACACATATAATATTTATGGACTTCAAGAATGTACATGTAACTCTGATACATTTTATTACATGTGCTAAAACATTCAAAATGCATTATGATAAAGGAATATAATCTATAACTAAGAATTATACATTGTGCAAAAATTTCACAAGAACGACACATTATCAATATAAGTCAAGGCACATAAATCTTAAGATATATCTCAAGTTTATTCTTATAGATTGGATATTTGAAGAAACTATGAGTAAATATATATTAAATTGGCATAGATCAATCATTTAAAAAGACTAATTCAATGTTTTTCAAGCATGGATAGATTATGTTATTCCCTGTTTAGAAAAACGTAATTATAAGCAAACTGATGCATAAATAAAGATTTAACTTAATATTAGATAACATAATCTGTGTTGCAAAATAATAATTTCATTAAAATCATTAAGAAACCTGACATGAACCGCTAGCAGCAGTCTACCATTGACCCTTTTATAAGGCTAAAAGAAAAATCTCGAGAGAATTTCATGTCTAGATTTGCATACCTGCGAATCTGCGCCGTTTTGCCGTGGATTTCTTAGTGGACTGTCAAAAGAACGAAAACAATAAAATCGTTATTTTTTGGAAGATGATACTTCATATGACAAAGCTATTTTTCTTATTATCAGAAGAACTGCAATGAGCTGCTGCCACGTGTTACGCTGATACGCTTTATACATAAATCTTAAAATTAAATTTTATATTGAACAAACACTGGGACAAAGGTATAAACACACTGTATTACATTTAATATTAACTTTTTCAATTGCCATAAAAGAAATTCATCAATATATGTATATCTTTTTTTAAATTAAAAAAAAAAAAGTAAATTTGTATGACCAATAGTCACAAGAATTTGCTTCAATGCAAAAGGGAATGATTGGTTCAGTAAAATTTCATATTCATTAATACAATGAGAAATTATATAAAAATATATCCCAAATCCTGTGTATATATATAAAACATTAAATATTTGTAAAATATGTATATGTTAATCTATTTTATGATAAATATTAAGATATTATCTTATATGAAAACAAACAAGTCTACATATGTATACAACATTTTCCAATTTTACTGTAATTTTTTATTTAAAACCACGTCTAATGTTATATTCTTGCTATATACGTGCGTCGAACTATATCTATAGATAAAAGTTACAAAGTGTACATATAGAATAATTATTCGATGATACTC